GGATCATGTGACTGGAGTAATGATGCTAAAAATTCAGCTTTGAAATCACAGGAATAAATTACATTTTAAAATATAATCAAATAGAAAACAGTTATTCAAATAGCAAAAAATATTTCAAAGTTGTTCTGTTTTTGCTATACGTTGGATCTAATAAATGCAGGCTTGGTGAGAAGAAGAGACTTCTTTAAGAAACTTTAACTTTTAACTGGCAATGTATCACATAACGTGACATTGATCCCTTTTTCTGGACTGTCAGCAATATGCTGCTGCAACTTTGAAAACCCTTTTTGCAAGATGAGCCTGCCTTCTGAGATGACATCATGACAGTCTGTATGAAGAGGCAGGGTACATGGCAGGATCTGGAAAGTGGAAAGCACAGAAAAGGGCACAGTATGAAAACGTTAGCAATGAACACTGTACTGCAGTGAATGCAATCAAAGAAAAGACAAAATGGGCACAAAAAGAAAAGACGACTGTAAAAAGTTAAATTAATTAATAACTTACTTTATTAGAAAAACAACAGAAAATAAACAAATTCTGATCCACAAACGTCTTGTTTAATCCACAAACTTTGCTACCTCAATATGCTTCCTCAGATTTGATAGTGAACTCTTGAAGCCAGACATTTACCTGATGAAAGTCACAACTGAAGTAGAAGTGTGTGCTTGATGCGTGAAAACAATAATTATTGGTTCTCACGTCAAGCACGCACATTTGAACTTCTGTTTACCATATTTATTGTGCATAAGATTAAATAAAAATGTAATGTACTTTTTAAGATGAAATAAAATTGTTAGGCGTAAAAAGTACAGTTTATTTCTCCAGAAATGTAATCAAGTAATAGTACAAGTAACCAGTTTAAATCGTACTTGAATAAAGTACAAATCTCCTAGAATAATAGGCTACTTAAGTAAAGTAATCAAGTAAAATTACTCGTATTTTATAGCTCTGCTGAGGATAGATGAAGATCGCTGAATAAACGGTTGAATTTGGGTCTGTTCCTCACAGTCGTATGAATTCAGAAGACTTGGATTATGGTGCATGAATAAAATTGATTCCTTGTAATTATGTTGCGTTTTTGGTGTGTTTTATGGTTCTGTTGTCAGTCACAGCATGTTGGAGAAAATGGCTTTTATGTCCCACGGCAAACAAAATAAATATTTCATTAAAAATGGAACTTATAATTACATAAATGTTATTAATTTTGTAGTCTTCTTGAACATTGTATTCTTCTAAATGAGTTGACAGCAGAAATCACACAGAACAGACCGAAATTGTATTATTTCATATTAAGTAAATGATTAAACTAATTTAATAAATGCACTTGAAAACATCTTGCCTTGGTATGACAACAAATATAATAAAAATGTCAATGCAATATTCATAAGGATTTATGTTGTCTATACGCTTTTGCTTAGATGCTGTAAATGTCAGTATATTTCAGTGTCTTTGCAAACATTTAGTAACTGTACACTTAAAAATAAAGGGGCTTCACGATGCCATAGAAGAACCTTTTTGTCTAAATGGTTCCATATAGAACCTTTAACATCTGAAGAACCTTCCTGTTTCACAAAAGGTTCTTTGTGGCGAAATAAGGTTATTCAGATTACAAAAAGGTAAGAAAGAGATGGTTCTTTAAAGAACCTTTGACTGAATGGTTCTTTGTGGAACCAAAAATGGTTCTTCTATGGCACCGCTTGAAGAACCTTTTGAAGCACCTTTATTTTTAAGAGTGTAGCCTACATTTTGTAGAACCCCATTTTACATAAAATAGATACGAATTATCATGAGATCATGTTGCTAAACTTTAATACTCAATTTAGCAAGGTATGTTCACAACATTAGCTTATTTCAGATAAGTAGTAATGGAACGTTTGCTTCTTTTTCAGAAAACTATTATTAAAAATTACTTTCCAGGATAGATAATTAAATTAGCAGACATAACGTTACTCACCATAGATGAATATTGTTGGCTCTCTGCTGGTGAAGAAAAAATAAAAAATCCTCAGTCTGGTTTAACGGATGCTAGGATGAATAGATCCCTCCACTCTGCTCCCGCTATTGGAGCGTATGCCGCCCGGGACCTTTGTGATTGGTTTAAAACACAAGGTATCCAATGGTCCACAATGGTCGCTCTTTGTAACTTTGCTATGTGACCATAGAATAACCAATATAGAACGTCCTCCTAAAGTCATATTGGGAACATTGTTATATGACTAAAAGAGGACAATGTGAGAACGTTCTGTTAATGTCCCAAATGTCCTCTTTGTAACGTTGCTTATGTGACCATAGAAAAAACAATACAGAACGTCCTAAAGTCATATTGGGAACGTTATTATATATTAAAAGAGGACCATATGGGAACGTTCTGTTAACGTCACAAATGTCCTCTTTGTAACGTTGCTACTGTATGTGACCATAGAATAATACAAAACATCCTCCTAAAGTCTTATCTGGAATGTTATTATATACTAAAAGAGGAGAACGTTGTTATGTGACCATAGAATAACCAATATAGAACGTACTCCTAAAGTCATATGGGGAACATTGTTATATATTAAAAGAGGACCATATGGGAACGTTCTGTTAACGTCGGAAACGTCTTCTTTGTAACATTGCTACTGTATGTGACCATAGAATAACCAATACAGAACGTCCTTCTAAAGTCATATCTGGAAAGTAATTATATGACTAAAAGAGGACCATATGGGAACATTCCGTTAACGTCCCAAATGTCCTCTTTGTAACGTTGTTATGTGACCATAGAATAATACAGAACGTCCTCCTAAAGTCATATTGTTAACGTTATTATATGACTAAAAGAGGACCATGTCAGAACGTTATGTTAACGTCCCAAATGTCCTCTTTGTAACGTTGCTATGTGACCATAGAATAATACAGAACGTCCTCCTAAAGTCAAATCTGGAACGTTATAATATGACTAAAAGAGGACCACATGTGAACGTTCTGTTAACATCCCAAACGTTCTCTTTGTAACGTTGCTATGTGACCATAGAATAATACAGAACGTCCTCCTAAAGTCAAATCTGGAACGTTATAATATGACTAAAAGAGGACCACATGTGAACGTTCTGTTAACATCCCAAACGTTCTCTTTGTAACGTTGCTATGTGACCATAGAATAATACAGAACGTCCTCCTAAAGTCAAATCTGGAACGTTATAATATGACTAAAAGAGGACCACATGTGAACGTTCTGTTAACATCCCAAACGTTCTCTTTGTAACGTTGCTATGTGACCATAGAATAATACAGAACGTCCTCCTAAAGTCATATCTTGAACGTTATAATATGACTAAAAGAGGACCATATGTGAACGTTCTGTTAACGTCCCAAATATCCTCTTTGTAATGTTGCTATGTGACCATAGAAAAACCAATATAGAACGTCCTCCTAAAGTCATATTAGGAACGTTATTATATATTAAAAGAGGACCATACTGGAACATTCTGTTAATGTCACAAACGTCCTCTTTGTAACGTTGCTATGTGACCATAAAATAATACAGAACGTCCTCCTAAAGTCATATCTGGAACATTATAATATGACTAAAAGAGGACCATATGTGAACGTTCTGTTAACGTCCCAAATGTCCTCGTTGTAATGTTGTTATGTGACCATAGAATAACCAATATAGAACGTCCTCCTAAAGTCATATTCGAAACATTATTATATGACTAAAAGAGGGCCATGTGAGAACGTTCTGTTAACGTCCCAAATGTCCTCTTTGTAACGTTCTTATGTGACCAAAATATAACCAAAATGGAACGTCCCCCTAAAGTCATATAAGGAACATTGAGCAGCAGCACTTTCATAACCAAAAGAGGACATTTTAGGAACGTCCCTAATGTTCTGTAAAGGTTCGGGACTTTCGTCACCTTTAGATAACTTTTAGGGAACGTTGTGCAAGGTTGCGAGAATGTCCCCTCCTACCTGGGTTATCACATATAGAAACAGTTGCAATTAGCTTGATAACGTTTATGTACCAGTAATACATTGTAAGTGTATTTTCTTAATTTTTTTCAGTACTGAACACAGAACAGTTACAAAGCTGACAGTATATCATGCATCTGCGTTTTCTAAAAAAAGGAGCTAAGTTTATTGAAAAATCTTAGTTGCATATGTTTCAGTGCTCAGACTTCATCTGACCAGCACAAATCCAACAACTAGTGTTTTACCAAACACTACAACATCCCATAAGCCTTGAGTGTCTTGATATTATCACATATAGAAACAGTTGCAATTAGCTTGATAACGTTTATGTACTAGTAATAAATTGTAAGTGTATTTTCTTATTTTTTTTCAGTACTGAAAGCAGAACTGATAACGTCAGAGTTTATCAATACTACAGTGTTTTGTAATTTAGCCCCAGGGCTCCTTTAATACCGGGTTCAGGTATTCATTCAAGAGAAGCACAGAAGAATCAGTTACAAAGCTGACAGTATATCATGCATCTGCATTTTCTAAATATATCATAGAAGAAGAATAACTAGTTTTAAAAATATCAATGAAGAGCTGTTTAATGAAGAGATTAAAATTAAATCTCAGTCTCTCTTAAAAGTGTTACAGTCTCTTCTTCAGCTTCCTGAACAAGAACAGTTTGTAAAAAGCTTATACTTTCCTTCATGAAAAAGTAAGCAAACTACAAGTGATACTTATGAATTATAAGACAATTGAACATAATTTGAAAGTCATAAGAAAGCACTGTGATTCCATTTATATCACAAAGCAAAATTATATTCAAGAATAAAACTTTTTGACATTGTTCTTTGGAGAGGAACTCCATCTTTGAGTTGATCTGAATCTCTCAGTTGAATCTGCTGGTTTTGAAGATGAACTTTATTCACTATCAAAACTTTAGATAATGTTTCTGTGATTTATCCAGATGATGTTTTTATGGGTTGATGCATTATTGTGTCACATTTGGTGAGGACGCAGCAACAGACCTGAAAGTCCTGGATCTACTTACTGTGAATGCTTTTTGTATGATTGTGTAGAGAAGATGATTGACTAAAACTCTTGCCACATGCAGTGCAGTGATAAGGTTTCTCTCCAATGTGGATCCTCTCATGTGCTTTCAGGATTCCTGACTGATTGAATCTCTTGTCACAGTGTGAACACTTATAAGGTTTCTCTCCAGTGTGGATCCTCTCGTGCA